CCCCTCAGGAGCCTTCACCGCGCCCCGGACCGGCCTGTACTCCTTCTCCTTCTCGGCCTACTCCAACGTGGGCGCAGCCGGTAACCGGCTCTACCACCAGGTCAGCCTGATCCGGAACAGCGACGTGGTGGCCTCAGTGTGGGAGGACAACCGCGAGGACTCGGAGGACAGCGGCTCCCAGACCGTGCTGCTGCCACTGGCCGCTGGGGACCAGGTCTACATCCGCCTGCTGTCCGGCAGACAGCTGTGTGGGGACACCAACCAGCACAACACCTTCTCTGGCTTCCTGGTGTACCCCACCCTGCAGAACTGACACTGAGACATGCTGACACACGCTGAGACATGCCGACACACCCGACACATGCTGAGACACGCTGACGCACACTGCAACACACTGACGCACACTACAACATGCTGACTCACACTAAGACACACCGACACACTGACACAACATGTTCTCTGGCTACCTGGAGTGCCCCACCCTGCAGAACTGACACGAGACACACTGAGACACGCTGAAACCCGCTGAGACACGCTGAGACACACCGAGATACTCTGACGCACATGGAGACACAATGACGCACACGGAGACACACCGACACACAGACTCGCTGACGCACACTGACATACACTGATGCACACTGACACAGACACACGCTGAGACGCACTGACACTCACTGACAAACACTGACATACTCTGAAACACTCTGCTACCGACACATACTGACCCAAGACACTGAGATAGCAACACGTTGAGACACTGACAGTGAGACTCTGAGGCAGTGAGACACTGGGACACACTTCTACCCTGACAGCGAGACTCTGAGACAGTGACACACTGAGACACACTTTTTACCACAGTCACATTCTGACACACTGACAGACACCCTTCCCAAAAGCCTCTTCTCTTCCCTCAGCTCCCCCACCTCTCTAGAAACAGCCTGCCTTGGGCTACCAAGAGTGCCAACATTCAGCCTGTCACGCGTGGTTCCTGTCTTAAATAAAGGTTTCCTTCTTTCAGTATGTTCAGTGGTTATCAGTTCCTGCAGCAGCTCATTGCCTTTGTCTCTCAGGGCCCCGCTGGTCTGGACTGCAAGAAGAAATCACCCCTGACCTCCTCCAGCTGCTTTCTGTCACCAGCGGGCAGATAACACTTGAGCCAGCCTCAGTCATTTCCAGGCGGCAGCCTGAATTCATTAAGACAACTTGCGGTGTAAGGGTCAGATGTGGTTTATGCATGCAGTCAAATACGAATTGTGGTGTTTGGGTCAGTAGCAGGTGTTGTTTGAAAACACCTGGATCAACTGAGCTGGGATCAGATAACTGGTGATCATTCAAAACCACATGTGATGTTGCTCCCCTCTCCCAGAACAACGCCAGTGACACACCATTATTATTATTATTAAAGCATTATTATTCCTTACACTTCAATAGCACTTTTTTGGACATTCTGGACACAATGGTACTGTTATAATACACAGTAACACCCCAGTGACAAGCTCAGAACACTGGGACCCACTGGCAGACAGATTGCCCCATGGATGCACTCTGACACACAAATGCACAGCAACACTGTATCACAAGCACATTGAGATCCTTGTAATACTAAGTCCTGACACTTCCAGTATGTAGCACAGCTCTGAACACTCCACTCAGAGCTCTTTACAGGTCATGGGGATCCCCTCCACCCCCACCAGTGTGCAGCCCCACCTGGACGATGCTCCAGTCATCTCCCCACACACCAGCTCTCAGTGGGGAGGAGAGCAGAGTGATGAAGCCAGTTCAGAGAGGGGGATTATTAGGAGCCCATGACTGGGAAAGGCCAGGGGGAAATTTGGCCAGGCCACCAGGTAACACCCCTACTCCTTTCGAGAAATGTTGGACAGAACGCAGACCAGCATCCTAACAGCGAGTCTGGCAGGTGGATCTAACTTGGAATTTTCCTCCAGATCAGGACGTGAACAATAAATGGTGATAGCAGGAACTGTATTGAAAGGGCTGTGTTTTCGGGAACACCGCCCACCTGCTCTTTAACATTAAAAACAAAACTCGGTTTACTGCACAAGTAGACGCGGGGAGGACTTTTTCTTCCGGACAGAGCAGAGGAGGCAGGAAGAGAAAGACTTAATTCACTCTTGGCCGCAGTCTTCTTCGTGCTGTCAAACTGCTTGTGCTACAGTGCATGCACGGTGCTTTTTTTAAAATATGGATCTTTCACGCTTTAGGAAAGGAAGGCATCCAGCAGCTGTCCCTCCTGGAGTCCTGATCTAGTCACAGGTCAGTGCTCAGCGAGGCTGGGCCTGGGGACAACCTGGACTGGAAACCTCTGGTCTCCTGCCTTGCCTGCAGTGACTACAGACGGCCAGTAGGTGGTGCTCTCGCTTTCTCCTCCATGTGGCTCATATTCAAGGTCGGATGCAGGGTGTATTAAGATGAGATAAGATCACATTATTGGCCCTATACAATTTCTTGCATTAGGGATTTGTCTTTTCGCAGACCCCAGCTTGCTCTCCATGAGACATACAGACAGGGAAAGAGAAGCTGGGGGTCAGAGGTCAGGGTCAGCCATTCATACGGCACCCCTGGAGCAGTTGGGGTTAAGGGCCTTGCTCAGGGGCCCAGCGGAGTAGGATTCCTCTGCCGGCCACAGGATTTGAACCCTGAGTTCAAATGAGTGGTAACTGAGTGGTAACTGTAGTGTCACGACCAACCCCGCAACACACACTCAACATCAGGCTCGAGTCCTGAACACTCGCTAGGGTTACGGCTCCTTTTTCAAGAGAGGCCTTTAACTCAGCATGACTTTCTGGTTGAATAAATAATAAATGTACTTAATATACACAGGAAACTTTTAATAGGCCTACTGGGACTCCTCAATTCAGGGGGATTTCGGGAGGCTTTTCGCAGGCCGCCTCTCAACTTCACCGTGTCTTCTGAGCCAAGGGGAAAAAAAGAGCCGGATTTACGAGCTGCGGAATATTTGTGGAATGCTGCCCCCTCCTGCTGGACTCTGACAGGAAGACGTGGACAAGCGAGGAAGAGCAGCAGAGACATAAAGAGGGGGAGGAAGAGCATAAGGAGCACCAAGAGTGAGGAAGAGTAAGAGAGATGGGGTATGACGAAGAGGAACACAGAAGACATGACGGGGTCAGGGGTCACTCTGGGCTGCTGTGTACTGTACATCACTTAAAACAAAAATACATAAAACATAGAACATTACTGAGAGACAGGCTCACTGTTGCTCGGGCTACAACAGGAGATCACATCCTCTCAGCTCTACTGAGTTTTTCTCTCCCACTAGGGGTAGGGGCGGTTCTGATCCTGGCAGGCGTGGGAATTCTGGGATTAGGTTTGTTATGTGAGGGGAGAATGTGTGTCTAATCCCAGAGTGTTTCTCCCAGTGCAGCAGAAAGTGCATCATCTCTCTGTCTCTCTCTCTCTCGCCCCATCCCTCTACAGCAGGTCTACACGCCCGTAACTGCGTGAAATCAAGGCACATTAAATTATGATTTATCTCAGCTTTATTTACACACCGTAACCCACAACCTCCCTGTGAAACAAAAACGAAATCTCAAACGTTCTGCGAAGTATTTACAAATGACAAGCCTCAACAAAGGGGTTGGACAGGAGTACACACCCCTTGGTAATAGCACTTGTCAACTCTCTCTGGCGTAAGCAATTGCCTTTCAGAGCACATGAACCTCTCGTCACCTGTTACAGACTGAAGAACAGGGCTTGTCTCTCTATTATATTTTATGTGATGTACTATATATCCCCATGTGGAGAGAATTGGGCACAGTGTCTAGGAGCCCCTGCCTCTCAGCTCCTCCTGCTCGGCAAACTCTGAGTTTGCCCTGGCTGTTCTGCCTGCGCGCCTCCAAATATTGTCATACCCGCCACTTCCCTGCCTACTTCCTCTCATTGTGGCTGGCCTGCGCACCCTGTAATCTGGTCCCTCCCTTGCCCTATCAGTCCAGCTCCGTGTCCAGGCAGGCTGTGTGAGGTTTGGGGTGGAGGCTCCAGCTGGTAGCCTCCCTGTACTGATAGTGTAATCTCTGATTTCCAAGCTCTGCTCCGCAACTGAGCCAACAATGATGTGTGTGTGTGTGTGCGCATGTGTGCGTGTGAACACAGGGTACTGACCTTTCTCAGATGGAAGAGAAGTCTGGAAATATTGCTTTAGCTCTGAAATGCACTGAAGAATATTAAGCATCAGAGTAATACATCACTCACAACTACACCAAGCTGCTAAAGTTGTCAGGTAACTGACAAAACCCTCTCTTACAGCAGATGTTCTGGAAATGTACTGAGCAGACACGGCATGTGAATTTGTGTGCTGATTGACACTTGTCATCAGCAGAGCTGATCCACAGCGGGTCGAGTGTGCCATCACGGCCCAGCAGTGTGTGTACAGTGCATGTGTGGTGCTGGTGGGTTGTTTTGCTCTAGGTCGCAGATCCAGCCATTGTGGGATTCTGTCCATTTCCTCTCACAGAACGTGATGGAGCACGTGCCTGTTCACTGGTCTCTGAGCCCTGGACAAACCTGTGCCTGATCGCTGGTCTCTGAGCCCTGGACAAGCCTGTGCCTGACCACTGGTCTCTGAGCCCTGGACAAGCCAGGGTCTGATCGCTGGTCTCTGAGCCCTGGACAAGCCCAGGTCTGTTCACTGATCTCTGACCCCAAGATGCCACATGTTGTCAAAGCTCATTTGGACCAGCAACCTTCCAGCCACAGTTATATTCAGTTATGAAAGCTTATATATATGAAATGTTTAAAATCTATTTCATTGTATTATACACGTATTTGAATAAAATTATGTTGAATCCATTTGCTCATATCTAGATTACTGTACACTTCCAGGGAGTGTTTAATTCAGACCTGCAGATGGGTGTGAATACAACGTTTGTGTGTGTTTATCAGCAAATTGGCCTGTAAAGTATGTCTCTGTGTGTTTTTTATGTAGTGTTTAACTAGAGGGTGTGTGACTGCTACACAACTGTGCCACACCTATGTCATTATTTGTTAGCATGAAGTGTGTGTATATCTAGGATTGCATGTTTGTGTGTGTTCAGGCAGTACACAACGGACTTCAAGTGCAAGCGAAGGATGACCAATGCAGATGAAGGGAAATCTGATAAAACGAGGCACCTCTTTACACTAAGGGTGGCGGGAGTGGGGAACAAGCTTTTGGGACTTCTTGTTGAAGCCATTATCCTGGCTTCTTTCCAGAAACGGCTGGAGGGAATCCTCCAATTGGGACAGGAGATGTTTCTTTACAGTAAGGCTGGTGGGAGAGGTGAACAAGCCCAGGCAAGTTGTTGAAGAGATACCCTGGCCTCTTGCAAACGGTTGTTTGAGATCCTTCAATGAACAAACCAGTGAACACTATCTACCAACACTGTGAAAGGTGGTTAAGTCCTGCAGGTGGATTCGTGTAAGACTATTTCCTGTTTTACTAAGAGAAATAAGTGCTGCTTGTTGAGCTGCAGGTTGAGCTCGGACAGAGCGTCAGTGTTTATTGTCCATGAGAATGAGTTGGGTTGAAC